GTACACGAGAACTTGAAGACATCTTAAAGAGAAGACGATGTGAAGAGAAAGGATACTGTCGTTGGTGGCTGAGAATTGGTAGTATTATAAGTAAAAAGTGAATGAAATTCCTTTATCGGAGGGAGCCTGAAAGAGAGAGAAAGAATTTGAATTGGGCCGGGAGCTTCTGTTCTAGGAAGTAAAAGTGTCCTGCATTCTGAATTAACAAGAAGCCGTAAGGCCGTGGAGGCCATTTTGAAGGAAAAAAATTCTCTTAAGGATAAGACAAAACTATGCAAATTTGCCAAGCCACTGTCTGCGGCCCACTAATTTAAAAAAAACAATTTGCAGAGCTATACCCACTGATGACCAGTTTCTGTGTTTCTGCTTCCCATGTCTGCAGTATCTGGTTGTAATTTAGACTTCCTGTGGGAACGGTCTTGTTCAAGAGACTAGTTCTCAGCTGTAACCTCCTATTTTCCATGGCTCCAAAGACAGTTCTTGATAGCTTGTCTTTCTCTCTTTGCTATTGGTTGACCTAGTCCAGTCCCTGACAAGTCATTTTTATCTCTGGATTCTCCTTTCTTGAACTTAGCACCAGAGCACTGTACTGTGATCTTAACATAGGTTGAATTTGAACCCTTGTTTGTCTTCCCCTCCTTGGTACAGTCTTAAAATCTGTAGCCCTTTCTCCCAGCATCTCATACTTGGCTCTTCCCTGATGAAATCTTGCCAATTAAAAAAAAAATCCTTTACTATTCATGCAACTTTCATTCCTTAATAGTGTTTACTTTATCAACTTTATCTTATCTAGAGATCATAGCCTATTTGAAGGGCTTTCCAAACCCCAGGGTAGAGTTCACCAAAATAAGAAAATTAGTAGTTTGCAATCATTATTTTACTGCCTTTAGAATAATTGATAAATACTTTACCCAACTCTAAAATTTTATTCCAAGAAGGATCTGGAATGAATTAGATTTAATGGATTGGTCTGAGTGTTGCAGACAGTTGAATGTTTCAAAATGTTTTGGATGGTAGGATGTGGGGAAATGGCCCCATTAAAACCCACTGTCCCTGACCTGGACCGTGAAGTCTGGAGGCACAACCTTCATGGCCATCTACTTATGCCCTGAAATTTACAAAAGACAGAGAAATGGAGTAAAACTATCACAGGAGGAACAGAAAACCCAAGACAGCAACCTTCTCACTCGAGGGCAAAAGTGAAAGCAGGAGTGACACACTCCCGGGGCAGTGCCACGCCCTCACACTTGAGCTGGGCACCGCGAGGGGGTGGGCACCTCAGTCAGCTTTTCCTGAACCCCATCATCTACCCGGGCTTCCATCCACCCCCATCCTCGGACATTTGAACAGTGTCATGAAGCCGGCTCAGTGAATCTCCATGAAGCCTAAGATAAGGCAAGTCCTTAAAAATCTAAACCTCACAGACTTTTGAATGTGACCTCCATGCTCATCAACCCTAATTTACTTATTGATGCTTTGCTTTGGGGCAACAAATAAAGTGAATGTAAATGAGACCTTTCGCCCACTGTCTCCTTAAACAGCCACAGGTTACAGAATGAATCTGGTGGTGGCTTTCAGATGCAGTCAGTGTCTGCTCTTCAAATCTTGTGGACATTAGGGTGATGGGCGGGATAACCAAACAGTACCCATTTCTGTTAGAACTGAACCCCATCAGGCCTATTCGGGCTTTGAGGCTTATGTGAGGAGAGTCGAATTTGGAATGTATATTCAATTTATAGGCGGGTTGTATTTCAGAAGGTTTTAGGCTAGATGTTTGGCACTCAGAATACATTTCACTTTAGAAATGATGTTTTCCATGGCGGTTCAGTTCTCAGGCCAACCCACAAGAAAACCTACTTTATCCACAATATAACTTTGGTGCATAAAACTAAGTATTTGTAGTAAAAAAATTAAGCCAGGGTGGCTGCTACATGAGTAATTAAAAAAAAATAGAAAAGTTATTGTATTAAGTACGTTATATTAAATGCTGATAGATTTAATTAGAAGGAAGCCTCGTGGAGATTCAGCAGAGTGTATCTGGGGAATTCCAAAGGTTTTAGAGTTGGTGGCACTGGTCCTTAAAGAGGGTGGCCTGGAAAACGTTTCTAAGAAACTCTGATGGTTTCTGATTCATAAGCTAATTTACTTAGGAATCATGAGAGTTGGAAAGAGTCAGTGAAGGAGGAAGCTATTTTCAGTGGTAAGTGGGCAAAAATGAGAATATATATATGGGAGGGAGAAGTTGACTAAAAACTGTATATGAACATAAGAGAAAGGGATTTTGCTGAAAGGAAGTCAGTGGCTGAGGAGGAAAACATGGTGGGGAGCTTTGGAAATCCTCCAGAGGAGACTTCAGGAAGTCCAGGTGGTAGTTCCTCCTCTGACAGGTACATGGTTGGGGCATTTTGGCGGCTAGTCCAGTGGGGACTGGAGCATCCTCAGAAAAGACTGATAGAAAATGTACTACGCACAGATGCAGATGTTTTAAGAGGTACTCACTGCCTATCACTCTACTTATACAAAATTGTACAACCCAAAAGTAAGGAATTTTATCTTAGTCCACCCCGTAGGTAAGATTTAATATTGTGATTTAATGTTGCCTATATGAATATATCTCTGCCTCCCTTTTCCTTATACCAGATCTACCCTCTTTCTGTTTCTCAGTTAAAGAACTAAGTTAAAAAATAATTAGATGGTTAAAAATAATACTATCATATTTATTAAAAAAATAACTATCCAATTTTTAAAAACATAGCAGTTAGCTTTGATGCAAGAATTTGAAATTGATACTAGATTTAAAAACCCACCCAGACTACTCTTTTGACAATAACAAGACATAATAAATAATTTGTTCTTTACTAATTTCCAATTCATATTTAAGACAGAGAATAGGCTGTTTAGCCTTTCACTATCAGAAAGAAAGAAATTGCCAAGTAAATTAATTGTGACTTTGCCAAGAAATTATTTAATATCTTAAGAGGAAAATAATTTTCAAGTACTCTCAAGTGTTTATAGTTACTGATGTAAAAACATATGCTGATTATTTATTTTAAAAATCTATTGATAAAAACCTCATTTAGACTCTGAGTCATATTTGTTAAATACAGGTAAAAGTACTTGAGAATCTGAAAGTAGTAACATTCCAAAATTTTCATGAATTCAGAATTTCAGGAAGTCACGAATTGTTATAATTACTTTTGGCATGCTATTTACTTTCTGCCGTAATCAAATCTTACATTCAGTCTCTACAGATTGAGCTTTATAAAATGAGCATAACTAAGTTGCCTTTTGAAAACTACTAGCCTCAGAGAGATTTTTAATCATAAGTCTACACTTTAAGAAATTACTGGGTAGCAGAGAATGAAGATAATTGGTATATACTTTGATCCAGTTTGCACGAATCTGTCAATGTTTAAGGAAAGTTATGTGTTGGTACTGTTCCAGTCACTGTAAATGATTGTTAAATTGCAACAAAGAAAAAAAAAAAGCAAAAAAACTTCACAACCAATATAGTGCACATTATACAAGTTACACAATATATACAAACATATATAAATAATGTCAGATATAAACTAAGCATTACACTCAAAGAGTTAGAAACCTTCTGCATAATCATGTGCTCCAAGAATCTAAGGACTGAAATAGGGTCTATGCTAACTACAGAACAGGAGATGTCAAAGTTTTAATCACTTAGATGTTATACATTAACATTTGAAGATACCATTTTATAATAAGCTACTGTCCTGGAAGACATTAAAATTATCGCAGAGAGCAAAGAGAGAGGAAATAGGGGGGAAAAAAGAAGGATGCCAGAGAGGAAGTATTTTAAATAATTTTGTGGAATACAAGTGGCCTTATTTATTATTTTCCCATAAAGAAGGGAACTTGTTGCCCTGTAAATCCATGAATACTGGACCCTCTTTTAGTCTTTCTCTCTTTGAATAGAAGGCATATTGGGTTGAAAAATAAATTCTTTCATGACATCAGTGCCCTAGTGCCACTGCTCTAAAGCAGAGGCAGACCTGCATCCCGGATGCTCGAATTAATATTTCCCAAAGCCTGCCTGCCCTCTGCATCCTCTGTAATGGAGACACCATGTCTCTGTTGGTCCTAAAGAGTGTTCACTCTTCAATGAAGTTCTCTTTTGAAGACAACATTTAATTAACAAGAGATTTTTTTTTCATTCAAATGTGACATTTCCGAGGGCTTACACTCATTAATTTCTTTCTTCCTCAGAAGGAACCCAAAGCCAGATTTGGGTCTTTATCTGGACAAGATCAGTTCTGGGGACGTCTGAGCTCGTGGTTAGTACAAGTGTGACTCATAAACCAGCAGTTTGGTTATCAGGTGGGGGCTGGCAGAGAGGCAGAAGCTCAGAACCTGCCCTAGACCCTGCATCTTAACAAACCCCAGGTCATTCAGATATGCTTTTGAATGTGAGAAGCCCTGCTGCTCTAGGCTCTTCTATAAGCTAGGTCCCTGAAAATTCCATGCTGGGGGTTCTCAGGGCACTGAGATGGCATTTGGTAGATTATCATATTTCATCACTAGCTATTGGCAACACCTGGAAAAGCCCATTTAGGCAAAGATCCTTATGTCTTTCAGCAATATACCAAAAAGACTTCATAAATAGCATTTTGTACAAATTATCCAAAACATGGCATGGGGTCTATTAATGATTTTGGTTGGGTTGTGCTACCTACACAAACCTATATATGGTTTACATAGGTAAACCATATGCAAAAAGTAATACTGAAATAGGCTAAATGAATGACAGGTTACCATGAGCAATAAAACTGGGAGAAATTTAAGTTTTCTAGGAGGGGTATTTTAAGTTAAAGCTGGCATTTTAATTCTAAAACTAAAAGATCTGATCAATTGTCACTGAAGTAAACATAATTACTTCCCCCCAACTTTTTTTTTTTTACAAGCCACTGTTTGTATTTTTCTCCTTACCACAAAAAATTTAACAAAGCTGCTGGTTAGACAAGGCTCCTTACCTTTATATCCCGTGGGTTGATACCAGGATTTGTTTGACATCGCAGAGGTCCCAGAGTTTGAATATGAAAAATGTAAAGGAGAAATTCGTCTCGGGCAGAGAATGGCCAGCCCACCTCCAGAAGGGTATCACTGATGGTGCTTGGTCCAATATTGTGCAGCTAAAAGCAACAAATACATCATGGAATGATACAGCACGAGGCAGCAAGATGAAATTAAACTCCATATACTCTGGACCCATTCTACAAAAGCATGGATTTTTGGTTCTAAGTCATCTGGACTCTGTGAAAATAGGAAGACAGAGTCTCTGTAAGTGAGATGGCCTGGTACTTAGACAAGACTGTTCAACCTAAGGGCAGAGTTCC